ACATATGAAAATATACATGACTTGCATACGCCATTGTTATCAATTCTAAGTGATATCATCAAAGGTCTTCTTTTCTTTTCTAGTGATTTTCAGCGACTTTTGATAACATTTTATCTTCCTATTTCTATATCTTCTCATATTACTGCCTTATATCTTGATGTTCTGATATGAGAAGTGGTAGATTATGGCGCTACGCAACGTATCTTGATGCTGATCAACTGTATAACACTCTATCAACTTTCTTGTTATAAAGAAATAGGGTTGTTCTAGTCTGTATTAATCTTGTTGACTAGCAGAGGAATTCAAGACGCATTTTTTCCTATCTGAGATTCGTCAGCTAGATGCGGTTCTCACCACTTAAATGCAAATTTTTGCTCCAGGACTGGTCTTCAGCGGTACCGTGGCTAACAGTAGAGAGTGAAGTGGTTGAGTGTATCGACCACTTCACTTACCTGGGAAGTAGGATCAGCCCTGGTGCACTAGTCAGTGGCCGATGAAATCTCTGCATGGATACAAAAGGCTCGATAGGCCTTTGCTAATTTGCGCCACTTTTGGCGCCGCCATGATATCCGATTGTCTATTAAGAGTCACGTGTACTGCACCTGCACAACAGTCCGGTCTGTTCTCCTGTATGGCTGTGAAACATGGCCATTGAAGGTGGGAGATATAAGGAGGCTTCAAATGTTTGACCACCATTGCCTTCTTAGTATGGACCGTATTCCGTGGTGTCACCACGTGAGTAATGCAGAAGTCAGGAGTAAAGTTTTAGGGAGTAGAGGTAAACAGTTGACGAGGTTATGAACCTTCATCGATTGAGATGGTTGGGACATGTGTTACGTATGCTTAGTCACACAATGTTGGCCGAAGTAAGTTGAGGCTGGAAAAAGGCTGGTGGCGGCGAGACCAAAACATGGCACCAACGTTTTAAGTCTCACTGTTGGTTTGAGCCATGTGAGTGGTGTGATGCAGACTAGGTGGTTGGGGTTGATGGGACAAGAGACTCTAGGGGATATGGCTGAGAACCGATGTCAGTGGCGCAGATGTAACTCCATATACACACATTATCGTCATCTTAACGACGCTATGTTGAATCTCACCATTTTGTCATTCCTCTTTTCTTTCTTCTCGTACTTCATATTTCTTTTGACTGCATTCTCTTATCTTTATCTTGTACTTCACTGCTTTGTTTACTTGATGTACTGATATGAGGTGTGGCAAGTTGCGCGGTTACTCAGTAATGCCTGGTCCTATGTTGATGTTGACTGATTGATTGACTGCACCTCAGTGAGTGTTGTTGTCACTGAGGTTTGAACCCAGCGCTCTTCCTTTGAAACACCAAGGCGTTATCCACTAAGCCAGTGGAACACGATAGTCACCTCCTATAGGACGTGTATCAGTTATTTTAATCTTATTTTAATAATTACGATACACTGCTTCCTTTCTTCATCATGCTGTATATTTATGCTTAAGTACTGAAACATTGAATTCAAGCCTTTATGACTGTGTTTATAAAACGATTCAGTAGTTTAGGAATCCCTATTTTTTTCCTTAAATAATAATGATGAAGTATACAGACTAATAGATAGAGTAGCTATGGGTTCATCACTTGCTTGCAGACTTCTTCATGTCGCAACTAGAAACCATACAACACTTAAGCAGAATGATCAACCGATTTCAACTCTTATAAGCTATACATAAATGATACCTTCATCATCTCCAATAATATGGATAATCTAGAAGATATCCGGGATATCATTCGAGTTGGGCGTCTGAGAGTGACATTGAATAGATGGTGTAAGGAAGAAATGAAAGCTTATAGGCAGTCATGGAGTCAGGTTAAATAGTCTATAGAGAAGACAATGAAATGACGATGTGCTATTGAAGCCCTATGTTCTACTAGGAACCCTTCAATCAAGTTCACATTTGATTAGAAACCTAATTTTAAGAAATCCTTTTTTAAGATATACAGCTAGAAAGATGAGGTTATGGATCACTTAAATGGTTTGTTCACAGAAAACCAAAGTGTGGAAATGGATAACAAAGCTTAATCGGATTTGTTCTTGTGTATCATAGAATCCATATTGTCTGCAGTCATGATACTTTAGAAGATGAATTTAATTTTATCAAAAATATTTTGATAGAAAATCAGTATGCTGACTATTTAATTGCTGAAACTATAAAAATGAAAGCAAATAGTCAGTCTACTTCTGTAGCTCCTAAGAGATCTCTTTTCATGAGCATACAGTTAAACGAAGGCACATCAAGAAATTGGCTGGCGTGCTAATGGAGAAAGACTTTCCTTTGGGTTCATTATGGAATACAGGGCTTCAGTAGTACGTCTCCAGTACACTCGCTTCTCTGAAATCTATTGAACCTAATCCCATGACTGCCCACAAACTCTCATTTCTTCCTCGCACCATCTCCTACATGTCACCCTCACACACCATGCCCAACTCGTCGCTTCCCACTAAGGTTCCATTCGACGGTCCGGCCTGGTGCATCATGTCCCCAGTCGGCCTTCTCAGTGTATGCCCAATTCAATCCATCTCCACTTCCTTCCACTGCATATTTGTTCAGCGATAGGTTCTTGCTTCGTTGGTTCGTTGCCAGTCAGCCAGAGTGAGTTCCTTGTTGTTTATTCTTATTATTCTGGCCATCTGAGCTTGAGTATGGAGCCAGGGTAGGTAGTTGTTAATGAATGTGTGTAGTTTGTTGGAAATGCCTTTCGTAACGTGCCAAGTCTGTGAAGCATCACACGGAGGCACTGATTTGACTAGATTGGTGTACAAAATCCAGATGTTGTTGACGCTTTATGCTGAGTGGAGTGCAGAAGATCTCCACACTGGTTCCAGGCTGATGAATGCCTGTCTTGCTGTGTTTCCGATCCTGGCTGGCTGGCTGGCTGACTGGCATTGACGTCCTCGTCTGTGCCACTGCCGCGTGTAGTTGGAACGATGCTGCCTTGCCTATATAGGTGAGAGAGACTACTTCCTTTATGTTTCTCCCATTGATGGTGACTGGAGCTTCTTGTTGTTGTTGTTGGTTGGGTATATTCATCACCTATGTCTTCTCTACGTTCACCTGAAGGAGGTCCCGTCTTCGCTGCCCTGCTCTGCCTCGCATTTTCTGTCCACTTATTAGATTTCGCCTGCAGATCTCCAAGTTTGTTTGACATTAGACATAAGTCATCACAGGCGAAATCTAAATGTTGTAGGTTCTATTGCGCGGTCCAGCCAGTGTATCTCCCTCTTCTCACTCCTCACTGTTTGTTGCATGATCCAGTCCACTACAATCAGGAATATCATGAGTGATAGTAGACAGCCTTGTTTTACTACTATCTTCACTTCAGAGGAATCACTGAGCTTTCGATTGTGAATTACTTGGCATGTAGCATCTTCATATAGTTGTTGAATGAGATTGATGGAGGTTAGTTGTATTCCGTGGTGTTGAAGCAACTGCGAAATTACTTGTCGGTCGACGCTGTGGAAGGCGTTTTCAAAGTGGATGAAGTTGAGGTGAAGATTCAGTTGACTGCCATTCCATACTCTGTTCTATGATGATGCGAAGCGTTGCAATTTGGTGGGCACATGATTTGTACTTCCTGAATCCAGCCTGTTCCAGTCGTAGTTTTGGATGACAAACTCGAATTATCTGTCCACAGTTACCTGATGCTTTGATTATGCGTATGGGATAAGCCAGTGCTCTTGGTCACCTTGATTTGTGTTTGTCAATTCATCTGCTGCTGTTGTGTAAAGTATATTTCACCGTACTCAGCATTGGGTTTCCAAATGCATTGCTGAGCATATGCCATCTTAGTTGAATAAAGGAGAGAGGAGATCATTCCGCAGCTTTATCTTTTAATGCTTTCATCATTTATGACTGCTGAGTAAATGGAGAAAACAGTTTCAGTGTCATATATTATAGTGGTTGTACAAGCCTAGTGAAAGGTGTACACCTGTAACTTCTCCAACTTGTGGAACACATAGCCTGAACTCTACATTCAAAAGATATTTATCCAGTCAGTTAAGTTGCAATAGATATGACTCGTAAAGTATTTTACTCTCAAAATATTTTCTTTCATATCTCTCACATTAACATTCTTCCACTCCGATGAATCCTGATTTCTCATTAAATTCACTAATCCCTTCAACTATATCATATCATTTAACTGGATTCAATCAAATAGAGCTTACATCTTGATAAGTTTTCTTTTCATTACTATTTCAACGATTATGCAATTCTTTTCTTCCAATCTCTTGATTTGTAACCAGAACTGAATTTTATTCAGAAATATTTTTAATTGTAGGATTGTATACAGCTGAAGAGAGGCATATAAAACAATGCGAATTCATACTGATTTGCATATGGTGTTTAGCTGTGCTTTTTTCAGATTTTTCAATCATTGCGTGTTATTGTTGTATCTCTGTTATGACATTCCTCCGTTTATTCATCTTCGTGACTCACGGTGGAATCCATGATACGCATTTCTTCCTATCTGGTAGTCATCAGCTGGATGTAACTGTATCTCACTGAGTGGTAATCAAATCCAGTACCCATCGCTTGGAATCCAAAAAGATTATCCATGAGGCTATGACTTATGGAACAAGTATCAGTTGTTGAAATGATACTTGTAATTTTCAGTTACTCTATAGGGTTGAATTACTCAACGTCATTTGGCAAATTGGCTTCTTACTATTTTTCACTGATAAGATGAATTCATAATCATGAATATTCAATGACTTCAGGCCATCTACATGAGACGAATTCATCTTCCAGCAAACGTCGAGTAATTCGAACCTGTATATCAAACGGGAAATTTCAACTGTTAAAAAAAAAACGGTATAATGTACTGACTATAAACTACACGTGTTGTCAACGACAGATAATACACAAATTTGGTGAAAAAAAGGAGAAAAATTCATCTCTTACACCTATTATATTCATTGATATAACAAACTACTCTTTTTATCACTATTTACAATGGGTTTTATTCTTATTAGGTCGATATGAAGATGATTTTGTTGATGAGCGACGTAAATGGTTACAGCAATGGTTAACTCGTATGTGTAAACATCCTGTTGTCTCGCATAGTTCAGTATTTTTACACTTTCTTACGTGTACTGATTTCAAGGTAAGTCGTTAGGGTTATTTTACCATTATTATTATTACTATTACTATTATTATTATTATTATTATTATTATTATTATTATTATTATTATTGACTTATTTGTCCATCAGTCTACTAGTATTTGCATAATACTCTATTTATTTAGTTCCAATTCACATGGTAATATCGAATACTAAATTAATTTTCATTTATCTACACCTCGAATTGATACTAGTTTGTATATTAGCCTAAAAGTTATTTTGTATAGGGTTTTTTTTTGTATAAATTGATAATATTACAGATACAATAAGTTGATAATCAATACTAAATATAAAATTGTAGTTGATATTTTCTTTCAGTAAGCATCTATTTTCCCTTTTTCATCAAAATGATTGATCTAATCACTGAAATATCATTGGTAAAGTCTTTTGGATACATTGAGTGACAAGTTGAGAATGTTTTGTAGGCGTTTCTTGCCACCTAAGTACAAATTATTACTCCAAGACTTGTCTTCAACGATGCCTTAGTTAACAATAGAGAATGAAGTAGTTGAGCGTGTTAAACACTTCAATTACCTGAGAAGTTGGATCATGCTCCGGTGGCTAAGTGGACGATGAAATCTCTGTTCGGATACAAAATGCTCTGTTGGTTTTCACCAACTTACGCTATCTGTGGCTATGAAATATAATCATTAAAAGTTGAAGACATGAAAAAGCTTCAGGTACTTAACCACCGTAGCCTTCGTAGTATAGGGTGTTTTGGAGTATCATTGTAAGAGTTTTAGGCAAGAGAGGTAAGATAGTTGATGCGGTTGTGAACCCTCATCTACTGAGATAGCTTGCACATATGTTATGTATGCCTAGTCACCGTCTGCCTCCTCACGCAGTATTAGATGAAGTAGATTCATGCTGGGAAAAGCCTCGGGACTGCTAGACTAAAGTGTGGCATTAATGTATGAAGTCTTTGACTGTTCGTTTGGATCATGTAGGGCTATGCAAACTAGCCGGTTGGTGATATGGCTCAGACACACATTATTCCCATCGTAACTGCCATACTTAGTCTCATCATTTTCTCTTTCTTCCTTCCTCTCTTTTACTACCTTCTACTTCCTTTGATTTATTTTTTCTTTCCTTCTTCATTTCCAATTTTATTGCCTTGTCACTTGATGGCCTGATATGAGATATAGTAACTTGAACCGTCATACAGTAATACCTGAGATTATGCTGATATTGGTTGACTGGTTGACTTAAAAGGTTATTTACATCACAAAAGTTCACTGTTGGGTGATTAACTTCACTGTTATCACAGCTACTAAAATAGAGTCATATTTGTAAGCATACATGTAGAAATTCCTATGCCATTTACGCATACTCTAACTAACAACCTGGACAAGTCAGTGTTGGAAGTTGATAGGCATGTTATTATTATGCTATTTGTCGCTTGAGTTCCTAGTAGAACATAACGTTTCAGTAGCACACTGCCATTTCACTCTCTGTTCCTCAGTCTCTTCAACCTGGCGCTACGACTGCTCATAAGCTTTCATTTCTTCTTCATATGATCCCCTCCATGTCACCCTCGATCACCCAATTCCTCGTTTCCCATTTGGATTCCACTAGACGGCGTGGCCTAGCGCATAATGTCCCTAAATGGTCTTCTCAGTGTAACTTCGATCCAATCCATCTCCACTCTCTTCTTCTGCATATTTGTTGGGCGATGGATTCTTGCTTCGTTGGTTCGTTGTCAGTTCAGAATTTCTTGTTGCTTATTCTTATCATTCTGGCCATCCATCTGATTGATCTTCAGTATCGAGTGACTGTAGGCGGCAGCTGTTCATGTATGTCTACCGTTTGTTGGAAAGGCTTTTCGTAACGCGCCAAGTCTCTCAACCATCACATAGAAGCACTGACTTACTTGACTGACATTAGTGTTGAAAATCCGGATCTTGTTCATGTTTAATACTAAGTGAAGTGCAGTGCAGTAGATCACCACACCGACTTCAGGTTAATAAAAGATTGTCTTGCTGTCTTTCCGATCGTGTCTTTGACATCCTCATGTGTGTGTGTGTATGCCGCCTGTAGTTGAAACGATGCTACCTAGGTAGGTGAAAGAGACTACTTCCATTCGATTTCTCCCACTGATGGTGATCGATGCTTGTCATTGTCGTTGTTGTTGGTGGTGGTCGGGTATCTTCATCACCTGTGTCTTCTGTACTTTCACCTGAAGGAAGTCCCGTTTTCGCTTTCTTTCTGTGAACTTGTTGATCTTCCAGTTTGTGCGACAAGACATTAAACATAAATCATCAACATGGGCGAAATCCAAATCTTCTTCTAGGATCTTCTCATCGGTCCAGCCAGTGTATGCTACTCTTCTCGCTACTCACCGTTTGATGCATAATCCAGTCGACCACAATGAGAAAGATCATGGGTGATGGTAGGCGGCGACATTGTCTTACTCCTGTCTTCACTTCAGTGGCATCGCTGAGCTTTCCATTGTGTTGTGAATCACTTGGCATGTAGCATACTCATATAGCATATCGCTGTTGAATGAGGTTGATAAAGGTTTGTGGTACTCCGTAGTGTTGACGCAGTTTCGAAACTACTTCTCGGTCGACGCTGTCGAAGGGCTTTTCAAAATTGATGAAGTTGAGATAGAGAGTTGGCTGCTATTTTACTCTCTGTTCTATGATGATGCATAGAGTATCGTTGCAGCTTGATCTGCACATGATTTGTTCTTCCAGAAGCCATCTAGACTGTTCCGGTCGAGTTTTTGAATACAGAGCATTTTTTTTCAGTCTCTTCAGGATGATGCGGCTTACTATTTTGCTCGGTGTGGACAGGAGCATGATCGCGCGCCAGTTATTGTTCTTCCATAGACTCACATCTCTCTTCTTTGGGAGTTACGCAGTAATGCCCAGTCCTATGTTGATGAATGATAATGATGACTCATTGGCTCAATAGTAACATGTTTGTTACGGAATCTGATGGTGCTGTGTTCGATTCCTAACGGACAGTGTGATGAGTGCCCCCTACTGGGGAATCCCATACTAGATCGAAACAGTTATCCAGTGCTCGATGATTTCCAATCTTCCTCCAACTGATGTCAGTCCATGATGAATTCTAACCTAAAATCAATAAAATAAACCTCCACAAACCTCCAGATAAAGTTTTTCTTATCTGTAATTTCAATAGTTTTGAAGATAGCCCAGAATTATACGATGCGCAAATATTACTCTGTTTCTATTGTATTTCGACTTATGTCATCTTTGCTAGTATCTATTAATTTCATTGAATTCAATGAGTTTTATTTATTTTTTGTCAAAAGAAGTGCGAAATTTTCGATTAAAAAGGTTGTCACTTAATAAAGTAATAATAAGAGTAAAACGTTTTCGGGTCGGGCACTGTGGTCGATTGTAATTCCATTTTAGTCTGTTTATTGTAAATGTCACACAGTGAAGGGACAGTATTATTTACTCGATAAGAACGTTTCGGACATAATTTATTATCCATATTCATATCAAGAAGCTAACTGCACAACTTCGAGATACACTTTATATATTCCTAATTTTTTCGTCTTCTCTTTGATGATAAGGGTAGTACAATTTTCCATTTATCTGAGATGGTTCAATGTATTTGATGTTGATTCGATAAACAAAGATTCGGTTATCAATCTCTCCCTCCTTCCTCCACCGTACTAAGTTTTTAATGCTGTTGCTCTATCCCATCCTACTGTGTGATTGTATATAACTGAGTGTAGAGCTACAGCCGAGCTATTCTCCTCGTAAATTTCTTATCTTATTAGGATCTACCAATCTTCATTTAGCTAATTTTTTTGTGCTCTGTTATTATAATCGACCCTGGTCGACGCAGATATATTTATGAATGATTTTGGACGAATGAACTTTCAAAGACGTAATCGTACTCCAAAGATATGGTTCAGTTATGTAGATGATACGTTTATAGTACTGAAATCGGAACATATTAATGGGTTGTGGAATCTATAAATTCAGTAGTGAATGGAATCCAATTTACCTGTGAGTTAGAAAGTGATTAAGGTGAACTAGCAATGCTGGATTGTAAGATTAAACCATATGAACGTTTATCAATCCTCGAATTACTCAAATTTCTGGACGGTCATAATGGCAAAGAAAATCTGGACAGACACTGAAATCCAGGAGATCAACTCACCTATTGACTTTAAAGTCAGCATATTGACAACAATGCTATGCTGTAACAGACTTCTCTAGTACTTCATCTAAGAGTGAATATACCTCCTTGATAATGCTACATGCCTTAATGTCAACACTATGGAAAACCTTTTGCCATTGATCTGCAGCTCTTCAGATGTTTATTCCTTTGCACCACAATATCTAATTCTGATAGCGTAAATCTATATTGTGCTGTGAATAGTAACACTTGAACAGATATTCACTTGGACTACATGAATACGTGGAAACTTAGAGATTCCCAAAATCGTCAGTATGGGTTCATTTGGTCTCTGAAGCCTATACGTATAAGAATTTATGGTAAAATAGACGTTTATCTAGCGTAACGGGGCATTACAAAGACGAATCGAATATGGCGACTGCTTGTTACGGGAATTTGGAATTTGTCGCGATCTTAGTGCCACCAACGGTGAGAAAGAAAGAAAAAGAAAATTCTACTACCCTTGTCATCAAAGAGAAGACGAGAAAATTAGGAATATATAAAGTGTATCTCGAAGTTGTGCGGTTAGCTTCTTGATATGAATATGGATAATAAATTAAATCTGAAACGTTCTTGTCGAGTAAATAATACTGTCCCTTCACTGAGATATATACATCATCAATATCAACATGGGAGCAGGCATTACTGCGTAACGGTCCGAGTTGCCATACCTCATATCACCACATCAAGTAAAACTGCAGTGAGGTGCAAGATGTAGAAAAGGAAATTCAATCAAAAGAAATATGAAGTATGAAAAGAGAGAAAGGAAGAATGACAAAATGGTGAGATTCGGTATAGCGTCGTTAAGATGACGATAATGTGTGTGTATGGAGTTACATCTGCGCCACCGACATCGGTTCTCAGCCATATCCCCTAGAGTCTCCAGACACGGGTTCCTCTTGTCTCGCGCACCCCAACCACCTAGTCTGCATCGCCTCACATAGCTCAAACCAACAGTCATGCATTCATGCCGTGTTTTAGTTTGGCCACCACCAGCCTTTTTTCACCCTGGGCCTACTTAAGCCATTATTGTGTGATGAGGCAGACGGCGACTAAACTTACATAACACGTGTCCCATGCATGTCAATCTGTGAAGGTTCATAACCTCGTCAACAGATTTACCTCTTCTCTCTAAAACCCTACACCTGACTTCTGCGTTACACACTGACGTAGTGACACCATGGAATACGGCCTATACTACGAAGGCAACGATGGTAAAACCTCTAAAGCCTTTACATGTCTTCCATCTTCAATGGCTATGTTTCAATGCCATACAGTAGGACAGACCGGACTGTTGTGCAGGTGCAGTACATGTGACCTTTAATAGACAATCGGATATCACGACGGCGCCACAGGTAGTGTAAGTTGGCGAAAGGCAGCCGAGCCTTTTGTCAACCACTGATCAGTGTACCAGGGCTGATCCTACTTCCCAGGTAAGTGAAATGGTTGACACACTACCACTACATTCACTCTGTATTGTTAGCCTCGGTGAGGCACCATTGAAGACTAATCCTGGAGGGACAATTCGCATTTGAGTGGTGAGAAATGCATCCCAAACATTCTCAAATCGCCATGAGAATAACTGTGATAAAATTGAATAATAATGGAGACAGTGGGCACCCTGACGGACACCACTCGACGAGTACAGCTCCCTGAACATCTCACCATAGGCTGTAACACGCCCACAAGTGTTCGGGTAGAGAGTTTTCGATAAGGTGATGTACTTACTAGTCAATAAGACATCTGGATCAACATCATTCGGAGGAATATTGGAAACCTTGGAGCATTGAATAGCTCTTTCGTTCAATTAATATGGGACTCCTCAGCAGGGTGCACTCATGACCCCATCACCCATAGGTTGAACCCATGATCTTCAGGTCCCGTGGCCAACACTTTACTATTGGGCCATTGTCATCGTCACAACTTCTCTTTGGAACCTCAGCCATCACTTCTCGAGGCTAATCATCAAATGAGCGATAGATTAATGCTTATTATCATTATTATTATTATTATTGTTCAAATAGAAATGGAAATCAGGCAAACGTGAAGCAGAAACTGATCGATTACAAGGAGGTCGTTTTTATTTTGCTGTAGAATCAAAGGAAGCACAAACACCACAGGACTATACGTGAGTTTTCTTTCAGTTTTTTTTTAAGAGAATCGGTAAAAGGTAATGTTTTTTGAAAAATCCTTTGAACTAGAAGTTATCAAACTGATGCAGTCTATCATCATTACTTTATCGTATCAGTCGTTAAAATAACTAAACGATCATATGAAACACTGTTACGAATAGTAACTGGTAGCGTGATTCAGTAATTACAAGTGAGGAGTATTCGTGAGATAAGAGTGTGATGGTAGGCAATGTGCTGGATAGTTGTATTGCTCTTAGTGATAGATCGAAATATATTCCGTTGAGATTGCTGATGGGTGCCAAAAAGCACGAAACCTGGGTTCAGGTCCGTTGTGACCGAGTGGTGAGGTTGCGCGCGTGAGTATAATGAGACTCAATAAACACCTCAACCGAATACCTTTACGACTGACCTCCCTCAGTACCTTCTGCTTAACTGAGCCGCAAAAAAATCAGAAGATAAAGACGGCATATGACTGCAAGAACAGCAACAACTTTTCCTAGGCAAATACATGACATATATATGTATTTACAAGACTCTCAGAAAGTGAAGCCATAAATGAACCAATCAGATTCCTTGTATAAGGTCGAATTTCTCCAATCAGATTCTCAGGTCAGCGCATGTATAAATCACGACTTGAACATGATCTGATCATGACTTGAAAGCATCTCCCCTATTGGCTGCCTTTTGTCGCTACGTAACAAGGTCTTGTTGTCGATTGCCTCCATCCAAATAACATCTATCTATGTAGATCGCGATGATAAGCCTTTAAGTGTGGTGGCCACACTGCACAAATGTTCAATAGAATGTGATCAGCAAACAGAATTAGACAAAATGAAGTTAGTTACCCTCTAGTGACGAATCAACGTATTTAATTCAGTCTCATAGGAGGTCAGTTGCAACCTGAATAGCTCATGGATGATGCCTCTGACTGTTGTACTGGGTGAAGTGGATTTGAATCTCAAATGGGACATCAATTTCGTCGTGGTTGTAGATACGCCTTGTTGACGAGTGCCAACAAGCACGAAACCTGAGTCTTAAGCTGCTATCCAATGGATAAATATGTTTCTCGTTTTCAAAGTTTATCCTTTCGGGAAAATTCTTTCGTTACGAATTTTGACCTAGTATCTTTCAAGATTATCATTGAAGTATTTATATCAAAGTTGTGCATTTGTAAAGTTAAATTATGTCTAGGAAGTTGTCAGTAAACGATTAATGCTTGAATCTTAGTATTCGTTACATCTCTCTCCTCTCCACTCTAATTGATACTTCGAAATGTCGAGTCAATCTTACTTATTGTTACTCTCCGGTAGAAATAAGCTAATAGTAGTTATCTTGGTGTATGAAATAGGTTTTTAGAAGAGCCATAGAATAAGAAAGTGGTATTGTAGTGTCGATAACAAAGGAAACAATGGGCTGACCACTTCCAAAAGCTGTTGAATCGATCACCACCTACACTTCGTTTAGAACTAGCACCTTCAGCTCAGCCACAGAACTACAAGGGAACACAAATCCTCGAACAAAAGTCGAAGTCCTGAACGCCATAAAGCTACTGAAATGCGGGAAAACAGCAGGACCAGATGGAATCCCACCAGAAGCACTGAGAGCAGACGCAGAGACAACAGCGGACACTATTGAAGAAGGTCTGGAAGGAAGGGAAGCTACCTGGCTATTGCAAGAAAGGTTATTTTTTCAAACTCCCAACGAAGGACGATTTAAGTCTGTGGAAGAACTGGCGCGGAATCATGCTCCTGTCCACCCCAAGCAAAATATTAAGCCATATCATCCTGGAGAGACTAAAGGATACGCTGGATTCACAACGACGACCGGAACAGGCTGGATTCAGGAAGTATAAATCATGTGCTGACCAAATTGCAACGCTTCGCATCATCATAGAACAGAGTATGGAATGGCAGTCAACTGGATCTTCACCTCAACTTCACCCACTTTGAAAACGCCTTCCACAGCGTCGACCGACAAGTAATTTCGCAGTTGCTTCAACACCACGGAATACAACTAACCTCCATCAATCTCATTCAACAACAACTATATGAAGATGCTACATGCCAAGTAATTCACAATCGGAAGTTCAGTGATTCCTCTGAAGTGAAGACAGGAGTGAAACAAGGCTGTTTACTATCACTCATGATATTCCTGATTGTAGTGGACTGGATCATGCAACAAACAGTGGGGAGTGAGAAGAGGGAGATACACTGGCTGGACCGTGCAAAAGAACCTACAACATTTAGATTTCGCCTGTGATGACTTATGTCTCATGTCACACAAACTTTGAGATCTACAGGAGAAATCTAATAAGTGGACAGAAGATGCGAGGCAGGGCAGGGCAGGGCAGGGCAGCGAAGACGGGACCTCATCCAGGTGAACGTAGAGAAGACAGAGGTGATGAATATACCCAACCAACACCACCACCACCAACAACAACAATAACAACAAGCTCCAATCACCATCAATGGGAGAAACGTAAAGGAAGTAGTCTCTCTCACCTATATAGGCAAGGCAGCATCATTCCAACTACAGGCGGCAGTGGCACAGACGAGGATGTCAATACCAACCAGTCAGGATTGGAAAGACAGCAAGACAGGCATTCATTAACCTGAAAACAGTGTGGAGATCCACTTCACCGCACTCAGCATAAAGCGTCAACAACATCTGGATTTTGAACACCAATCCAGTCAAGTCAGTGCTTCCGTGTGATGCTTCACAGACTTGGCGTGTTACGAAAGGCATTTCCAACAAACTACACACATTCATCAACAACTACCTACCCTGGCTCCATATTGAAGCTCAGATGGCCAGAATAATAAGAATAAGTAACAAGGAACTCACTCTGGCTGACTGGCTGACTGACAACGAACCAACGAAGCAAGAACCTATCGCTGAACAAATATGCAGTGGAAGGAAGTGGAGATGGATTGAATTGGGCATACACTGAGATGGTCGCTGGGGATATCACGCACGAGGCCCGTTGCGTGAGTGGAACCCTAATGGGAAGCGACGAGTTGGGCGATGGTGTGTGAGGTTGACATGGAGGAGATGGTGCGAGGAAGAAATGAGAGTTTGTGGGCAGTCATGGAGACAGGTTCAAAAGATTTCAGAGAAGCGAGTGCACTGGAGTTGGATGTAGGCAACCGGCAGGAAGCCATGCACGACATAGTTTTCATGCTTCTTGCCATTCATCAGCAAGGCGTATCTACAACTTCGATGGAACTGATGCTCCACCTGAAATTCCCACCTGCGTCATCCAGTGATGCAGTCAGCGACGTTACCACTGATGTATTCGAGCTGCAACTGACATCCTGTAGGACTAGATTAAGGTATATTGATTGATCAGTGGAAGGTAACCAATTTCTTGTCGTCTAGTCTTCATCCAATTCTGTCGATCGTTTTGCAACGTGGCCGTTAAGTTTAATCTTTTAATTTATGTCATTATCGGCTTTCTGGATAAGCTTAAAGTTTTAATAACTGTCGGTTTATTTCAGTTGCAAGAAGTGTCTGTGTTTAAGATCAAGATATGTATGAGCTTCATTATGCTCTGCAAAATGACAGATAATTGCACTAAAAAGCCGCTTAGTCAATATGCATTAGGTGTTGGAGGTGGAATGCATCCAAGTGAAAGAAATAGAAAATGGGTCACTGTGAATAAGGAGGGACAAATTGATAAAAAGTAGTGAGATAGGAGACACTTGCTGTCAAAGAATAGTAGAACGATGATAAATTCACTGAAGTATGCAAAGTGGGTTAATGAATAAGGAATGAATTGATATTCAGTGGGGAAATATGAGTCAACTGCTGTCAATGAAGTGAAAATTGGTGACAATAATAATAATAATAATAATAATAATAAAAGAGAAGTACACCAAACCAGTGAAGGGAAATGAAATTGACAAAAGTAACCAAAAGTGAATTGTTAAGACCAAGGTAGAGAGAGGTGGTTTTACAAAACGTTTTTGAATGCAAAGTTTCAGATTTTGTTCATATATAGTTAATGCTTCAGCTATGGATAAGTGGTGGAAACGTAGAAATTTTGGAGTAGTTCAATTGAACTTTGTAAATCACTTTCAAAGATGAATTTCGAGGTGTTGAATGACCTAATTCAATAAGGTGTTCCCATGTGGATGAGGTTGTTTTTTTTCTCTTACCTCTGATAAACTGAAGCGGGTAATGTTCAGCATCACGTTTTTGGAGGGCTCACTTACAACGTCCAATATAATCAGCTCCACTGGAGCATATGCTATTTAACCGATTATAAATACGACTTTACAGCTTGATACATGTCTTGTTCCTTATCCTTGTGATGTTTTTCATTGATTTATTTCCACCTTTTCAAGTAGGGATTGTACAGTCCACCCTTTTCATCTACGGTGACATTTGCCAGCCTTTTCCGGTTTCATACTCAATTACCTTTTAAAATGGCTAGTTCGCTGTACTGAAGTTCAGCCTCTTCCTGCTGAATGCCTAAAAGTTAGAAGACATATTGAGTTTTTTAAGATCTTTGATCATGAGTATTTTTGTAGGACTGTGTTGCCTTTTGAGTGAACTACTAAGTGAGCAATATTGAAGTTGAATGTATAGTTAGTATGTTAAGAAGATGAAATGCTTGATGGGATTGTGAATCTATACCAACTGAGACTGGTGTGAATGTCAATTAGTTGTTTCTCTTGAAGCTAAAATTGGCTTAGGTTGAAAAAAAATCTGAGACTGGTCAAAGCCAGAAATGACACTAATCTATGAAGTCTTTTGTCGCTGGTATCTTTCATGTAGATGAGTTTGAGAGGTTGAAAACACTTGTTAGTATAATTCAGATATGATCACAGTGTCGTAGATATGTACATCTTAAATCATCTTTGAAATTTCAAGCATTATAATAACCTTCATTTATTCATCTTATCACCTCACACCGATACCTTCTGATTACTTTAATATAACTCTTTACAGCAAGCTTGAAAACACACTTGCTAAAGGTAATCAGTGATAGAGA